CCCCAAAACCCCAAAACCCCAAAACCCCAAAACCCCAATATCAGCAACACAAGTTGAAGATACAGTTGATACATAATTATTCTTCAGAGCCAGATTTATGAAACTCGTCCCTGTATCAGAAATACTTTCTGCTTGGAGCTGACTCGTTCGCTTCGCTGATAGATACGCTAGGAGTGTTGATGCTCTGGTAGGCATTCCAGTCTGGGATCTGGTCATCTTCGTCCTCAGAGGGTTTGTTGAAGTGGTCCTGTTGAGATAATCCCTGAGACACTCAACTGGGTCTAAGCCTGCTGGGTCTAGCCTCCATGCAGTCAGACAGATCGTCATTATCTTGAAGTGGCTCATAGTCTTGCATCTGAGACTTGGACTCTTCGATGGCTATTAAAATTAAAGAAGATTGGTAAAATGGTCGAAATCTGAGAATCAAACTTGGTCGAAGACTAATCAGCTAATGATTGATAAATTAGAAATGTTGATAAATAATACTTTCACAATTGTGAAGTTATTTGAAGTTTTTCCATGTTTCTAAGTTATAGCTGGCACCTTATATCTAATTAGAATGCAGTAGTAATGACAAATAAAGGGCTTTAACCAAGAATTAGGTTGAACCAACTCAGCCATTGTTACATACTAGTGTCAACTCTAGTTGGGACCATTCTTGTTGTTCAATTACTATGTCTTCCTTGACTGGAAGTGCATATTTTTAACAAGCTGGTCTTCATTATTTTGAGGTAAATCGAAGTTTGAATAAATTTACACAAATGCATTCTAAGTGATTCTCAATAATTGAGTTGAAGTACAAAAGTAAATCTGATGTATCAAGATTCTAAGCTATTATGTGTCTTACCATTATTCTGTGAACTTGACTGTTCAGAGCTTTCTGTCGGGCCTGACCTCGCTGGCACTTCAGAACTAGGGTTCTGACTCTGATGCCTTGCAAATGACTGGCCGACTTTAGAATCTACTTTGTGATCAGCACACAATTTGAGTTTAGAATGTTTAAAGAACATGGCAGCTTACCGAGTTTGTCTATTTTGTTTTCAAGAACACTGATCCTCTTTGAAGTAGTATAATGGTTTTTCAGCATGAGATTTCTGAGTTCTTGCTGTGCTACAAAGTCATTGAGGCTTTACATTTCATGGAGTCCACTCTGAATTCTGCTAATTTTGCTTCAAGAGAACTTAATTGACCACTGATCTGGCTCTCATTATTGGAAGCTTGATGGGTAGCGATCAACTCTGTAATTGGATAAGAAAATATAGATAGGCACAAAACAAATACAAATGCAAGAAAGCACAATGTTTCCAAATAGAAGTGTAAGCTTGGTGATTGGAATAGCCTATTCTTTTCCAACAACTAAAACTAGTAGACAGTATTGCTCAATTTTAGCGAGCCTTATGATATCTTTGAGTCTACCAGCTTTAAATATCTTCAGGCTCGACCTCCCAATGTTCAAATCCTTACCCCTTGACAACTCTGAGCTGTTATCGTTCTTGTCTTCTTCGATTGTGAGAAACCTCTTAGGCAAGTTTTCGTTCGGGTTGACCTCTCTAAAAGTGAACACCATTGACTCACCCTGTTGCCCCTTTTGTGGTTTCTGACCACTCGTAACGGCTGGTTTGGCTTGAAGACATCTTGTTTTCAGACACTCCACTATTGAGGCTACGTTTTATGAAGGTTCCAAAGGCAGGCCTTGTTACCTTCAAGGAAGACGAATCTTCGCAAGTGTGGTCGAACACTTGTTTGCTGTCTTTCTTGGGCAACTTTTTCTTACGCATCTGATAAATTTTGTTGTTGGGCTCTTTGTGCTTAGGAATGTGACTGATAAACTCCTGCTCCATGTCTGCATCTTCTTCTACATGTTCTTGTTTATCTGCTCAGCAGTTACCGAAGAGGTTAGGGAGAAGGTTAGACATTAATTTATAATTCTATTGATCGCTTAGAAAATGGGGTTTTGGGGTTTTGGGGTTTTGGGG